GAGAATGGCTTAAACTAGTTTCGACATACCAGCAAAACCTTGTGGACTCACTTCCTAATCGAATCCAGGTGATTATCAAATCCAGAGGCGATGTTACACGTTATTAAATTATGTTTTTCCTGATTTCTCTAAGTAAATATTTTTTTGTCCGGTGTGCTTATATTCACGATTCGCGGTATTATTTAACATTTATGTATCAAACTTATGATTCTGTTGCCCGGTCTGCCACTGTTATCTTGTCATTATCTGTTTCTCTCACGGATGTTAAGCTTCATGTTCGGAAATATATAGCATCTTTGTGGCAGTAAAGGTTTGATCTCCAAACTCTCAATAAGCTACACAGTGTTGAAACCAATTTGGGCCATTTACCTGTGCTGTGCTTGCGTAGTACAGACGTTAAACTTACTCGACTGTGAATCAGTCACACCTGGTTAACACATCTTCATTTGCTGTTCGGAGAGCGTCCTCCTCAATGCAATGCGTGTAATCTTCCTCTCACCATTTATCACATTCTAGTAATTTGCCCATGTTTTAACCGACAACGTTTTACCTTTTTTGGGAGTTCCATTTTATGCATACAGGATTTGTTGGATGACAGTCATCATCCTAACATTTTTGCGTTTTTACGTGCCGTTGGTATTTTTAAGTGCGTATAAAAGTTTTAAAGCATTCACAATTTTATTCACTTCTGCAAATATTTTACCATATTCGTACTGTTTTACATAATTTTTTCATTATATATTATGTCCATACATTTTATCTGAATTAATTCACTTACTTATACCATTTCATCAAATTGGATTTCACGATAATTTAAGTGTAACATGCATTTTAGTTTTGATCTATTCTGTCATATTGTTCGGCGCAGCATGTCCTCTTTTTTTTACTTTGTGCCATTATATAAATCCTATATAGTATTCAGTTCAATTCTTTCTCAAACTTAAACACTTTCAATCGAAAGAACGAATTCAATCGAACGGAACAATTCTGACAAATAATAATCCTTTTTATTTTCAAACGAAATTGAGAGTAATGCGGACTTACTATTAAATGAAACAAGATCAAACAGATGTTTTGAAAAAGTAAACATCAGTTAATGAGCTGAAGATTGTTTTTCGAAAGCTCCGTCGTCATATGGTAATGATGTTTTTTTCTAATAATATGCTATTTTTATAACTGCTGTGACTTTACAACAGCTACTCATGACAGTTAGGTCAAGTTAAGCTTATCTAAAGCTATCGCTGTCTATCTTATTTTGAAAATGACACAAAACTTCAATATGGAGAAGTTTTGTAAAAATCAAAAGCGTTCGTGATCTAATTTTTCAATATTTAAAAACTTACCCCAAAGCTGCATCTCCTGGACTCAGGAAAATTTGCAAAAACTGAGAATATGGCAGTGATTTTGATAATTTTCATCAAGGTGGAAAAAGGTCACCGAATTGGCGATTTTCTTAAAAAAAGTTTAAGAACTTTTGAAATATTTAAGTTATTTGTCTGTTCTAAAGACCGGATAATTTTTCACGGAGAGATTATATATATAGCTTAAAATCACCGCATTGTATCAAGTGTAAAACACTTAAACTATGATATTTATATTTTCCTTGGTGACAAGGTTCGAAAGATCGAACTGCACGCGTAATTATTGACTGCGGCCCCCAGCAATCTTATATTCTGAAAAAAACAGCCAATAATATGGATTTTGGGTTAAAAAGCTCAAACGATTTGACACTTATTTTGCTCGAAGGATTCATTGAACAGATTAGATCTCATAAATGCTGCTGGTTTGAGTAATATTTACAGCTGTATTATCTCCAAGGATCAAAGCGTCACATGTAGAAAGTTGCCAAGACAACTAAAAAGGCAGTTGGGGAAAAAAAGAGTTGGAAAATTTGGTTAACGGCCAACTCTTCACTGGAAAGAAGCATGAGCTGGGATGTGGTTTAACGGCTCATGGAAACTAAATAAGGCTGGATCGTTATGGGGCGAGTTCATGAAGAAAAAAGAAATGGATTAACTTTACCCCCTAAAAAATTCACTTCTATCTCAAGCCTGCAGCATATCGAAACTGTGGAACATAGACATTTTTGGTATGAAAGTTCCAGCTGAGACTAAACCGAGAAAAGAATTAGAGATTGCCACTTTCGATTATTCGCAATCGCAAAGCTCGAATACGCAATCAGAGGAGAAGGCCGGTTCAATGTATTGACCCTCTTCTTAGCTGTAAGGAAATGTACTACGATATTTTCCCATTCCATAATATTTTTTCGTATTTGATTATCAAAAATATTTTATAAAATTACCACGATGCTTTATATTAGAACCATGTTTAAATGCAATTTTAAGTTCCATGAAGTTTCCTAACGTAGAATTTTTATCTATTTGAAAATCAAGACAGGAGCTAACATACTTTCTTCTCCTATGATTATCCACACGCTAATGGTTAAAACATGCCAAGTGTTGCCATATGTAGAGAGTTCTTCTCTGCACCATCTGTTGCCCATTTCAGTCTCCAATTTTCAAGAAACTGTTACGAAGTATGAAAAGAGATGATAAGAAGTCCTTTTACCGTGGCTAGAAACTAAACACTCTGGTGTAAACAAGTCCATTGCTGAGGCAAGATCCATTTCCAGTTCAAAACTGAAGATATGTATGAAGAACACGAGGCCGTTTTCAAGGAATGGGAACACTCTGAAATAATTGAAGTGGTTCTACTCTCTGAAATTGATAACTTTTCTCATTACCCGCCACACAAAGGAATTTTTAAAGAACATTGTATAACTGGAGTAATGTGAATATTTGGTGTATCGTCACACGATAAAGGCTCCACTTCATTAAACGATTCTCTGGAAAAGGAGCCAAATATTTTAGAAAAACTATAATCATTCTTGATGTGGTTCCGAAGGAAACGCATTGGTATAGTATCGTATCTGATGTTAAAAAAGTTTTCTTGCGAATTTCTATCGTGAAGGAAGACTGATTATTTAGATAATTTCGGTGGGAAGATTTAGAAAAGAAGTAATTTAAGATTTTTCGGTACAACAGAGTAGTTTTTGGACTCACGTATAGTCTGTTCCTTGTGTCCGACATAGATTTAGGTGCACCCCTACGAGAATTTTAAATGTGCCCTATCTTAGACATAACACAATTTTTTTTAAAAAAAATTATAACTGAGACAAGAACACTATGATGAGACATTCGGGAATTCATAATCATTCATTTTGATTTACATTAATTTATAGATTTTAATTTAAATTATTCTAATATGAATTAATAAAGAAATTATCGCGATGAAAAGGTGGAATTTGTAAAAAGTAATAAATTGGAACATTGTATACTCTTACTGAGTAAAAACATTGAAAGGAAATTTATCTTAACAATGCGAGGAAATAACTCTTACAGTAATTATTTCAAAGTTTAGTTAAGGGTTCTTTATATTTATAAAACGAATTAAAAAATATCTTCATATAGTGGGGTGTACAACCTTTTTAAATGAAGAGCTACGTGCCCAAGTATTTAGATATGTTGGTGACAATTATGGTAATTTTAATATAATAAGTGTTTTAGACACAGTTCTTTTCATCAGTCAACTTGGTGATTTATTTGCATTAAATTAAATTCTTTTAAATAATTATAATTCTTTTTTTATTATCTGAATTCTTTTAATAAATTCTTTTTTTTTTTTCCTTTTCAACATTCAACTTCGTAATATATTTGCATAAAATTAAATTCTTTTAAACATTAGCATTGAAAACTGAAGAAAGCGAACAGATACTCTTCTAAATCAAAATATTTCCTTTTCATCAAAAAAAGAAAAAGGAAAAATACAAAGATGGGTAAAAAGTGACGATTCTTCATCAGATCATATAATACAAAAGTGTATTTTAAAATAAATTTACTGTAATGTTCTTGAATGAAAGTAAAAAAAGATAAATATTTTATTGAGCAACAAAACTACAAATTAATTATTTTAATTAAAAGAATCATATAGCATTTTATTTTTAGATTGCCTTTTATGCGATTAGATTTTATGTCAGATTGCTTTTTTTTCCATTGAAACGCTTCCAAATAAACTAAATCTAACATAACAAAAAGAAACTTTTGTTTGCAGTTCAGAAATTTTTTTATCCGAATTTTATGTCCAGTTACCCTGCTGCCTAAAATCATTGATTTGGACTCGTAAAATCGGTTGAAGTGCCGTATTGCCAGAAAATCTCCGAAAAGAATGTGAAAACTAGTTTATAAACTTTCCATTGTTGTCAAGTGTCAACAGGGCCGTGCTTAGGAGTGGGGGAGTTGGGCGACCACCCCTAATCTACGCTTAAATGTAAAACAAAGATTTCTGCTATATTGTTTAAAATCTATACACATATATTATTACATTATAAAATTACTTTTTTTCTAATTATTTGGCATTTTTTATTATCCGTGGTTACCCTGCCACTCGATTATGCTGATAATAGGAGCTTTTCTATATGCAACATTGAAAAACACAATTGCAACTATTATTGAATTATAAAACTATTGTAATGCAATTATAATTGCAAAATTTAAAAGCAAATATTAAGTGTCACAAATAATTTCAACTTTAAAATTGAATCAACTTGATTTGAATTCTTGAATAAATCCATTTTTAGTGTCCCCCCTTCCTAAGCACGAACCGGTGTTTAACCCTAGATATAAAAGCAACAGTTTCTCCTAGGCTCTTCTTTTATTCTAAAATAAATAATTAATCTTTATTTTACCTATTTTTTTCAAAAAATAAATCATTGAACTATAACACAAAACTTTCATCAATTTCTTCATTCTATGACAATTAAATATATTCATAACAAATAGAGACTCTCTTAATAGCTTCCATAAATTCTTAGAATAAAATGTTACTTTCACGAAACTAGAAATGACGGGAATTCATATCACAAAAAATCAATACATTCCTGTCCGCCGCATAACTTTTACAGAACGCATTGTGATTGGTTAGATGGTGGGAAATATATTGATCCAAACTCTGCGCTTATACATACAGCGGAGTTTCCCATTGGATTATTAAGGTAAGGTAGGATCATCACTTGCCGGTAACAACGCAACAATCGCGGATGTAATAAATAAATCCTCCGAGAAAAATTGAATAATTATAAGCCATCGGACTAAAATTTAACTGTTCCACCAGGAATTGAATTAGCTTGGGAATGAAATTGACATTGAATTTTTAACACTTCTGTTGATTGAGATTATTTCATTCGCTAAATACAGCTGTCAAAACCAGCGTTTGATTGGAATTTTATTTCCGAAGCAACATGCCTCCCCAACTCAGTGGAAAAGCTGTTAAAAAGGCTGGCAAAGCTCAGAAAGCTGTTAGAGCTGGTGACAAAAAACGCAGGAAGAAGAAGAGGAAGGAAAGTTTCAGTATTTACATATATAAGGTCCTGAAGCAGGTCCATCCGGACACTGGCATCTCGAGCAAGGCCATGTCCATCATGAACAGCTTCGTCAATGACATATTTGAACGCATTGCCGCCGAATCTTCTCGCCTGGCCCACTACAACAAGCGGTCAACTATCACTAGCCGAGAGGTACAGACCGCTGTCCGGCTGCTCTTGCCCGGCGAACTGGCCAAACACGCGGTATCCGAAGGCACCAAAGCTGTTACCAAATATACTAGTTCAAAATGAAAGACATACCTTTGCCGCGATGTGCCCGTCTATTAATTATTTCCTAACTCATGCCACGTGAATTAAAATGCATTTGGAGATATGATGTGATTTTTTTTAAAAAATAAATGATAAGGTGGTACAAAATATGCAGTTTTTCGATTTTCACGGGATCTTACTAACTTTGCAATGTCCCCTTTGCGGGGAATTGTAAAACATGCAATTTTTGCCATTATTTGTGGTGATAAAAAAAAGTCAAGAAACCTCAATTATGACTTCTTTTTTTTCTTTTTACTTAAATACTTTTGTTCTCTTGTTATATATTTCATCAACGTGTGAAATACCATTTACTTTGTGTTCATTTAAATTTGATTCGTTGTAATTTATATCTGACAGGTATACAATGTTCAACTTGCTGGGAGTTACGAAAATAATAATAAATAATGTAGATATGCAGTTTCTACCACTTTTTGTAACGATAAAATAATGCAATTTTTTGATCCACGAAAATTTAAATTTTGGCAGAAATGTTTTACTTTAATATTTTTGTTTTCGCAGTTTTATGTATTTCCAATTGTAACTAATTTCCTATAATTCTTATAACTTTTTTGTGATGATGAAATAATACAATTTCTTTTCTCATGAAAATTTTGATTTTTTACACATTTTGTTTATTTAATTTGTTTTCTTTCCCGATATTATAAAAACAAGTGAAATATCATAGATTTTGCGCCGATTTCAATTTGATTCGTTATATTCTACGAAAAAATCAACACATCATGCAATATTTTTCTAGATTGATATTTTAACAAATTCGGAAAAATATGTCATTTTTAACATTCTTTGTGATGTGAAAATAACATATTTTTTCTCTTTTTTGTCCGTAAAAATTTTAATTCTGTCAGAATTTTTCTACTTAAATGCTTTTTTCCCCTCAGTTTTATGTATTTAAACAACATGAGAAATAATAGTAATTTTATGTTGATCTGAATTTGATTCGTTGTAATTTACATTTTTAAAAAAAAGAAATTTACAATTTTAAACTTACTCGGAATTATTAAAAATTATAAAAAGTATGCAATTTTTACTATTATTTGTGATCCTAAAATAATGCAATTTTTCTGTCCATGTCAATTTTAATAATTACATCATTTCCTTTTATTTACTTATTTAACTGGGTTTTTTTTCTTCATTCAACTGTTTATCATTTTTATTTTATTTCGTTATAATGTACATACAAATTAACACAATATACAATATTCTTCTTGCAAAAAACTAGCATATTCTTCTAATAGAAGAATATTTCATATTCTTCCATCAAAAAAATGCAATTTTTCGTCTTTGTTTGGGAAGATAAAATGATACAATATTTTCGTTCATGGAAATTTTAATTTTCACATTAATTTTTATATAGTTTTATTTTTTCTCACTATAATGTGTATTTTAACAACGTATAAAACAATATTTTCTTAATAATTTTCATTCGGCTAACAAAAAACTTGTACATTACCGTGAAATTAAATTAAGATACTTTTTTTTGGTTTATAATATTTCTGACTGGAGATTCAAGGTTAAGTAATTGATCTAATAAAAATTCAAAGTTTGTTTAAATATTTTGATAACATTCAAAAAAAAAATAATGAAAATAAAAGCGTCAACAGCTATGGAAAAGGAATTTATACATCAATTTACGTCATTTGGAAAAGAAATTTATGTTAAACTAGGGTACGTCATTTGGAAAAGAAATTTATGTTAAACTAGGGTGATAAACTCGCTACCGCTCGCCAACCTCGATGTTATTAATTGTTGTTTCTTAGCAGAAAACAGTTTTTCTTTGCAAAAATTGAAATTATTCTCATAACTTATATGTACTAAGAAGAATTCTGTTTGCTTACGCTTGTGCTTCCACTTCTGACCTCCAAATATTAGTGCTATAAATATACTTATTAGTGTTATAAATATTTAGATCTATTGCTGAACAGAAATAATTTTTCTATATAATTATTTTTTGAAATAACATTTATATTATTATAACATTACATTGTACTAACAAATTTGGTGAGTTCATAACCGTAATTTAATATTTGAAGGCGGGTGAATATATTAAATACTATTTTTGCTTGCATCACATTGTGCCAGGGTTTATGCTGAGTCTAAAAATTCATTATCAAAAAAGCTAAAATCTGAAAAAAAGTTTTAGCAAAATGCTAATATGCCATTAGGCTTATAAAATTACTTTATATCAAACAAGTACTGTAAGTTATCTGACAAAGAATAGCTTAATGTACAAGAATATCAAAAAGAATACCTATAACAAAAAAAAACACATTTATTATTTATCAAAACATTTTGGTTTATAATTAACAANTTGATTTTTGTTCAAGGATATCTTAAACATTCTTCAATCGCCTGGTATTTGCAGGGGAGCATTCAAAATAAGAGTGAATTCTATGTCCTGAAACTTTACCAGGTAAGCATTCTCAGACGCTGCTTGGCTCACGGCTAAAGCTAGCCTATGTGCCACACAATGTACTGAAATTAAATGCGGATTTTGGTTTTTGAACAGAGCAGCAACCCCGGCTCTAACACCAGTCATAACTGAAGGTACCTAAGGATGAGCATTTTGTAACATCTATTTTCAAACTCTCAAGTGTCTTTATCAAAGAAGAATAAATAAGAAGAATAATAGTAATAAATAATATTCGCGGAAGCTTTTTTTTTAATGGAATTTAGTAAAATCCTTTAGCAAAAATGCGAAAATGCTTTGCTGAATTTTAGCATTTTTGAGGGGTCTTTTCGCATTTTGCGAAAAAAGCTACCGTAGCGGAAACCCTGCATTGTGCATTAAAAAAGGCTCTAAATCATTTAACGAATCTCCATAATGGTAATTAAATTTATAACAATATATTAATGTTATCTGCACAAAAAATAACAATTGTAAAACAGTTAATAAGATTAGACCTTTCTTAACTTTATCTTAGAAGGTAGCGCAGAATTACATTATAATAATGAAAAATAAAAAAACAATTCTCTTAATTTTAAGCTCTTAAATCAAAAGCGTAATAATAGCAGTATTGGAAAATACTCATGACAACCAAAATAATTTGGAAATGAATGAGGGAAAATATATCCTACTATACGTGATTTTCCTGCCAATAAAAATACAACAATAACAATCAAAAACTGTGTTAGACCATTATGTTTTTATGTTCATGGAGATATTCTTTTTTTTTTAATTATTGATTCTAAAAATCTTAAGAATAAATTTATGTTATTTGCTATTTTTCTTACAATTAACTGAAGATTTTCACAAATATTTAGAGAGATAGTTAAATTTTAAATAATGTGACAATTAAATCAAATGCCAAAAATCTATTTTTTTTTAACATTTGACATAAATACAATATTTAGCTATTTAACACAATATCTAAACAAATTTCTAATATAAATACAATATTTAGGCAAATATATAATAAAAATACAATATCAAATTTATTATACAAATACTATATCTAGGGTATCTAAACAAATGCAGTATATAGGTATTTTTCCAATATAAACACGTTATCCAGCCAAGGACAGGTAATTTAAAAATTAAAGGAAAAGTTGAAATTTGTTTTTTTAAAATTATTGTGAAAAATATTGTTCTTGAACTGTTTGAAAACTTTTATTAACTTTATTTAAAACGCAATAAGAAGAGTTTTTTATTCATTAACTCAAAATAATAAATACATACTATTCGAAAACAAATAATATTTTTGTACATAAAATAATTTCCATCACTGTGGTTCTTATGCTTTCTAGCTCTATCAACTTTGGAGAAAGAAAAAAAAACAGCTTAGGACGCATTCCTTAAAAATTTTTTTGCAAAACATTAACTCGAAAAATTTAAATGGATTGTTTTTTAAAACTTTTGTTTTTACATCATAATTTTCCTACTATACAAGGCGTATAGAAATGAAACAATTTTGTCTCTTTATGCCAGTGTTTCCCAAACTTATGACTTTTGTGTACCCTTTCTAAATTTTTCAAAACGCTTTGTACCACTAATAAAAAATGAATGTATTTTTTACTAAAAAAAAGTGTACAAACTTTAAAAATCACAACTGACTTTTGATACCACTAACTATTAACTGTTAACTCTGCAAAAAATATCCAATAAAAAAATACGTAATCGTAAATTTTCATGGCTAGCTTTGTTTTTAAATTAATTTTTTTGAAATTTTCGTTTGTTGCAAGATATTTCGCATAAGAACGCGTACCCCCGTTAAACTGCTCCCGTACCCCTGGGGGTACGCGTACCACACTTTGGGAAACACTGCTTTATGCTAATGGTCAATACATTATTTTCCCCCTTGTAACTTGATTATGGTTTTTTTGGTATCTCTTTTTCAATTTGACAAAGAAGAAGGCACTTCATTTACAACGAAAACGATCATATGTCTGTTGTCACATTACGTTTTAACCCTATTCGTATACAATAAGTAATTTTATAACCGTCGTTGAACAGCTGATTCAATTTTGGGTGTACGACTATTGATGTTCAATTCCGTAGCCTTGTCATTTTGAACCCAATCCAGAAGACAAAGGAACTCGTGGATCAAGTATTGGGAGAAATTTGCTTTCGTGGAAGACTTTTTGAGGGAAGTAACCCACATTTGCGTCCCATGGAGAGGAAAACCACGAAAACTTCCCACGGTTAACCAGACAGCAATAGACAGGGACAGTGATGACGTATTTCACCCCGCCTCCTTCCAAACGCGTTCCAAACATTTTTTCGAAGGAACCATTTCAATGGCATTTCCTATGTGAATTTAAGATGTCAAGATTTTTCGTTAATTATTGAAATAAATAAATTTATATAGCGCTTCTAAGGGACAGATTCCTAATTTATGTAATTTTCATTATACGGGGTATTCAGTAGATTTTACGAGTTAAGTGCATTAAATGCTATAAAAAAAGTTTCAAAATGGTTATCTTTAATTTTGATGTATAAAAATTTACACGTCAGTACTATTTTTAACTCTTGTTTCATGTTTATAATAATGCCTTATTTNCGACTATTGATGTTCAATTCCGTAGCCTTGTCATTTTGAACCCAATCCAGAAGACAAAGGAACTCGTGGATCAAGCATTGGGAGAAATTTGATTTCGTGGAAGACTTTTTGAGGTAAGTAACCCACATTTGCGTCACATGGAGAGGAAAACCACGAAAACTTCCCACGGTTAACCAGACAGCAATGGGACTCTTACCCATCAACTGTCTACCACTGAGGATATTTTACTCAACACTGAGGTCGATGCGAGCCGGGTGCGGAATTCAAACCTTATTTCACCTCATTAAGAGGCGGACGCTCTATCCCCTGAGCCACCACGGCTCTACAATAAGTTATTGGTCAAGTTTAGGTTAGAGTCGGTCCACAAATGTTGACATGCTTAGGGTGACGGAAGGAGGGTCATGAAATAGTGACAGTTCTTGCCAAGGGGAAGTGTGACACATTTTGATTAAAACATTTAAAATCATTAACTAAATATTTTTATATTATTTTTAAAAGAACGCATATAATTATCGTTATTTAAAAGTCATAAGGTTTAAAAATAAAATTTGAAATATGACCTATAACAAAGAACGTTGATTCTGAATGACAAGTTTATGCTATCGTAATATAGTGTGAGGTAGAAAAATTGGGTGACAAACGGGAGAGGGGGGAACAAAAATAATGAAACTGTGACAGATCAGTCCAGGAAATTCTAACTCTCCAAAATATTTAAAATGAACGAAAGCTTGTAAAATTTCACCACTTAAAAAAAATTCGGAACATCCTTATTGGGACTTTTGTTAATGAAAATGTTGTGGTGGTTAAAAATAATTTTAAATTAAATGCTCGTCATTTTGACCACATGAACCATCATACCATAGATAGTTTTATATATATATATATTAATTTGTATCTCCTGATGTTTGCACAGCTGGCTTTATTTTAAAGTCTGGTCTACTAATCTTATAAAGATATAACTGTTCAATTAAGTAAAATTAAAAAGATATCCCCTAAAATAACTTTTGCTCCAATGACCCTATTTTCACGAAGTGCAAATCTTAAGGGTCCAAAAGAGTGTTCCCAAATAAATTATTCTTAATTTTTTAATCAAGTCCCGAAAACGTACTTTCGCTGAATAAACATACCTTTTTTTCTCCATAGGACTATACTTTATCGATTGATAATTTCATATAAAAAATAAATTTCATTGTTCTTAGGTATTCTATTTAATAAGAGTCAAAAAGAAGTTTGATTGCAAGATACTCAAATTTATGCATCATTCTTAACAATGTAATTTTAAATGACAAAGTACAAAATTTGAGCAAAATCGGTTAAATAGTTTCTGCATAATTAATCCCCCCCGGAAAAAAAATATCTTTAAAATTTTATTTTTCAAGAACTATTTTATTCAAATTTTACATTTTTACTTCATTTTAAATTGCTTTGTTTAAAATGATGCAAAAATTTGTATACCTTACTATTCAATATGAACATTTTTTGACCTTTATTAAATAAAATAATAAGTAACAACAGATTATTTTTAACATGGTATTATCTTTGAATAAACATAATTTACCGTTACGTTCACAAATTTTTCAATTTGTTTAAAAAGTTATAGAGATATGGCAAAATGCGCAAAAACGGAAATTCACGATAATGTAGACTTAACTATCGGGACCCTATTTTGATGGCCAAAAATTCGTCGGAAAAAAAGGTATATTTATTCAGAGAAAGCAAAATGATCACATAATTTATTACAAGCCTATCTTAATTTATGGAAAGTGCAATAAAAATAGCGAACACCTGAATAACTTTTAATCTGATGATTGGATATTTAGGCACCATAACTCAATATTAATGATTTGTGCTTAACCTTGATATGTTAATCAATTAGTGCAGAAGATTTATGCTGCAAAATAATTAACGTACTTTTTCTAAATAAAATTTTTTTCGACTGATTTGGATTCTCGATTTTCGAAAGAAGCCGAAGTCTGAAAAATTGGGTCCCAATAGTTTAGGGAAGTTTGGATCTCATAATGTTAATTTCGCTATATCACTAGAACTAGCGAAGCGAATCAACAAAAAGTTGTTTTGTACTCAATCAAAAAACTTGTTTATCCAAAAATAAATCCATGTAAGATATTTCTTTTTAAATTATTTAGTTAACCAAGGGTCGAACATTTTTGAATGGTAAGGCACACAAATGCTTACTATAGGTAATTTTAAATATAAAAATCTGAAGGGAATCGATTGAATAATTCCTGAGAAAGAAAAAATGCGACTTCTTCCCGATATAGCAAAATATGCAAAAAGTGAAAGTAAAGTTAAGAAGCCCAAACTTTTGATTGCTTTCCAGCCAAAACTATTTCCCGATTGCAACAACCTCTCTTCCAGGGTGCGTAGACAATTTTTTTAGCAAAAAATAAACACCTTTTAAGCACTTTATAGCAATAAAAAAATATTTTAAGCACTTTTTTGTTTAAAAAATTATAATTAAGGCTATACATTTTTTTCCCTATTGTTTAAAGTTCACTACCCCATAAAAATTGGTAAAACACTAAGTTTTTGAATAATTATTTTTCATTTTCTCAAAAAACACTTATATTATTATTTTATAACTTTAAAGGTGTATAGGTCTTGTGATTTCTCACACTTATCTTATAAAGCTGAAAATTTTCAGAGATTTGATGGACTGGCAATAAATTACGAGCGAAAAAAATTGTTTTAAAACACTTTATGCCAGAAAATATAGCAATAAACTTGTCTCGATTGCTTAATTTAATTAATATATGCAATAATTGCATAAAATTTCGTAAGCCTAGCTTAATATTTATGTAGATATGGACATTTTTATAAGAAATAACTAATTTACTTGTTTTACATTTCTTTCGCTATAACTCTAAAAATATTAAAAAATTTAAAGCAAGTTTTAATTAATAACTAAAGTTATCATTCTAAAATTTGAAAAAAGTTTGTTAAAAATTGAACAAAATATGAGCATTTAAATTTGTACTTTCATACTGCGATTCGCGGAGAAAATTAAAAAAAAAATTCTCATTATTTTGTAGAGAATCGTATTTAGTAACTAATGAAAAAAATTCGACTTGAATATCTTGAAAATTTAAAATGTTTCGAGCAAATAAAATTAAGAACTTTTTAAAAACACCTATCGTAAAAAACACCTTTAAGGACTTACTTTTCCGAAAAGTAATATATCACCACTATTTACATTTATTAAAAGATCAAAATGACCCTTTCCGTTATTTCACAATAAGCCCTTCGAATGAAAATGTTACAAAATATATCATGTCCTATGTGATTAAAATTCATAATATGCTAGGAAAAAAAGGGTACAATTACTCCTAAAAAATTTTTAATATCTTTCTTTCATGTATCTCGTATGTTCAACTAAAGTTAGATAAATCTTAAAACAAAATATAATATTCGTCAAATTTTTTATATTTTATTATTGATAAAGTACGATGGAAAGTAAGCAAATTTTTCATCAATAGATTTTAAACCTGGAACCTAGATCAGTCCTGACTTGAATATGCTATCAGTCATATCTGATAATTATTTTAACCTCTAGAGGGCAGCACCATGCCACGAAATAAATTTTGAAGCAAGATCATTTTTCTTTGATCTTCAGATCTGCTTCTATTTCAACTTGTGAAGAATTTACCCACAAAACTTTCCTTTTATATTCTCAATTTATTTTAAAATGTTAAAACTTCACTTAAACCCTTATTAATAATAATTACATAGATTTATTTTTAATTTTGATCTAAAATATAGCTAAGTAAAACTTAAAAAATTACACTTTTGTTCAATTTACAGGCATTAAATTGTTATTAGAAATTTTTTTTTATCACAGAACTATAACTGAAAAATATTTTAGTGATTATTTTCAAAATAAACTTTATAGTATTTAAAAAGTATAAATTCAATGATATTTATCATTAATTTGTGATGATTATTAAACAATTAGTCTTTTTTAATGTACAAATATTCTTAATTTAATGTGGAATAAATTGAATGTCATTCTATTGAAAATTATAATGGGTTAATTAATATTTAACCATTATATTTTTTTCTAATATGCATTGTCATATCTATTTTTTTTATTTGCATTTAACCATTTGATACTTACCTTTTGCATTTGGTGGCAAAAAAAAAGCACTCATCACAGGAAAAAAATTGCTGGAAAAAAAAAACATACTTACCAGAATCTGTTATGTTTTCAGTCAGCAAATAAAAATGTTAACATTTAACTCAACATTCTCTAAACCAAAATCTCAAGCTGTGTTTAAATTTATCTAGTAGGGTCAATATTATGATAATAAGCATTATTGAATTAACTTTAAAAAAACAGCACTTACATCTTGAACAAAAATTCTGGAACACAATAATTAAAATTGCTTATAATAAAAATTTTGGTTGAATCTTATTTTAATAGGTATTTGTTAAAATTAAAAATTTATGTATGATCTCGTTGAAATTAAATACGTGTGATCTTAACAGTACTTTTCGGTTAGTATGACACAAGTAAATTCATTTAATATTTATTTATTAAAAATGAATACTCACAAATAAATTATTAAAAAGTAGTTATATTTACTTGCTCACAGTTAACCAAAAAGTATCAATCTAAAAAATATTATTTCTCTAACAAACAATATAATTAAGTTATAATCGTAATTGGATTTTTAATACATTGAACTATAATTCTTATTAAAACTATAAATTATTTCAAATAAAGATTAATATTTAGTTAATAATTGTTCAATTTTATCAACATCTTACCACAAAAAACTACTCAATTTCAAATCATAACAATAAAATCTTAATAAATTTAAATTTGAGGAATAAAAAAATGCAATAATGACTTTATATTATTTTATTACAAAAATTTGAATATATACAACAATGATTCTTAAATGATGATGTTATGTAACTTTTAAATAAATAAACAATTGATAATTTGCACTACAAACAAATTTATAGTGGTAACATTAACAAATTTTATAATTGAAGACAAAAAAAGAAAGTAAAGCAGTTTCTAAATGCAATACTAAAACATACACTCAATTTAAACATTTTGAACATTATTTACAATCAGAATGTTCACAATCTAAAACCATTAAAAACTACTAAGCTAGATAATATACATTTCTGTATTCAAGTTAAGATCAGCGCAAATATAACTATCATGAAATACAGATATTACCGGGCGTTCACATATTTTTAAAGAATAATATTAGTACTAATTAATACTTTTCAACAATCAATTTTACGATATAATGCTTACGAGATTTTTTTTTAAACTATAAGCATTTAAATTTAGAAATAAAATAATTAAATATATTATTAGATAATTAAATTCGATACTCACATGAAATAGTAATAAAATAAATTCAATTTTATAAAGAGTTCCGAAAATTTCAAATCAGTCAACGTTCACTAGACAAATGATAATGACAATCGATGATGATGATCAGATAAAACGATGAAGACGGTCAATGATGTATGGGAGAATGATGACAGTCAATGACATGATGAACAGAATGATGATAATGACAGTCAATGGCAATTAAATGACGATGGCAATGATTACTGAAGTGATGAGGATGCTCAAGATGAAACAATGGGATGCTCAAGATGAGATGAAAACAATGAAGATGTAGAATGAAAGTGATGATACATACAGTTTATCATTTGGATTTTTTGGGGGCTGCTCTCTTCACTGCCTTGGCTTTCTTGGGTTTTGGAGCTTTGGGTTTCAGGGTCTTGGATTTCTTTGGAGATTTGGCCAACTTAGGCTTTGGTGCTTTCTTTACTGCAGATTTCTTAGGAGTTTTGGGTTTTGTTACTTTCTTGGCAGCAGGTTTGACCGTTTTTGCTTTGGTCACCACTTTTGATGTTTTGGGTTTAGTAGATTTTTCCTTGACTCCACCAGTTGTCATTCTAAAAGATCCTGATGCTCCTTTACCTTTGGTTTGAACGAGTTTTCCAGACGCAACGGCATTTTTCAAATATTTTTTGATGAAAGGAGATAATTTTTCAACATCCACTTTGTAATGAGCTCCAACGTATTTCTTTATAGCTTGAAGCGATGATCCCCCTCGCTCTTTCAAAGTCGAAATAGCAGTATTTACCATATCAGATACTTTTGGATGCGATGGAGCTGTTTTAGGCTTTTTAGGTTTCGCAGATTTAGCCTTCTTAGGCGTAGCTGCGGGAGGTGCAGCAGTTGTAGCTTCCGATTCAACCATAGTTCACGAAAAATCGAGAAATGACGATTCAAATTAGGAGCGAAATTCTGACGCGCAGATAACGAAACTGACGAAGAGAGTGTGATGGTTTCGGTTTGAAGCGCTCTCTAAATATAGACTCTTTGCGGACGTCGCAGAAAGCTGTAAACTTTGGGAGCGCGGTAAAGGCAGGGAGTGAGTCGTCCGATAGCTGCAAGAGGTGGAAATTGTGTTTCTTGATCGACTTGATTGCCTTCTAATAAATCAAATTACAAAGATATTTCATTGAAACTTTTCAGAATAGTTAGTTTATATTCTCTACTTTAATAAAGAATCGAGAAATCAGCATCCACATATCACTGTGATTTATTAAAATAGCTGAATTCAGACTCACCTCTGCGAGCGAATAAGGGTACATCTGTTGATTTTTAATTATATCGGATTAAAATTTTTAGTTATGACCGAAATAATATGTGAAATGGAAGACAGAAATCCCAGCTATAAATACCTATAGAAAAGAATGTCTTAGAAATAGTACAACTTACGGGAAAAAATTCCTTTTCGGGACTTATTAGCACACGCTATCCTATTCAGTGTTCCTAAGTCAATTTTTAAATATGAAATAAAAATATTTAAAACACTTGTTATTTTTCTTAAAGAGTAAAACAGAATTTAGATATGTGTATTGTATATCGAAATAAATTGTTATCAAAATTTTAAAAGCGTAATATTTATTTTAAAAAAATAAAGAAAAAACATCGCTATAGAAATGAATGAAAGATGGAGTTCAATGCGATTGTATTGATGTTGTTTCATATTATGTTTTTTCGCTATTTTAAAGAATAAAACTACTTATTATCAATAAAAAATGACCCATAAGTCCACTTTAAGAGTTATTTGAGAGTTTTTTAGTAATTGGTTAATCGTTTTTGTTTATTTAAACGAATGTTTAATTTTTGGGTTTCAGAGAAGAACGAGATTCAAGATGGCTACGATCTAAAAATTAACACGTACACGAAAAAATTGTTTTGAAATAATATAAAACAATTTATTATTTAAAACTAAATTTCAAATTTTTAAATAATATCTTCCAGTTAAGTGAGGAGAAATAAAATTTTAGTCCTCACTTTTTATATAAACATTAATTCGGTGCCAAATTAACGAGTGTAAGAATAGTTGATGTTAACTATATAAAAAGAAAAAATCTTCCAATATTTCATTTCTATTGTTTATATCCTTATTTTCTGTCATTATAAGTGTCATAATTCTTAACAGTTTTTCGTTAAGTTCGTAGACATGTTTTGTTCTTCTAAAATACAAAACATGCATTTGGTATCAAAATGATTTCTTAATTTAACCTTAAATTTGAATGACATAAGAGTGTTGTTATTTTTTAAAAACTAAGTATTTATTATACTTAATTAACATTAGTTCATGTTTCAATTCTTGTGACATTTTTTAACTGTATTTTTCTAATAAAAAAAAAGAAGTTATATTAATATTATTTTTATTTTGCGATTTTATAACAAAATAGTTCAAATTAAAATTTGCATATAACAAAAGATGAGGATTATATTTTAAATATTTTAACATATTTTTAAAATATGCTGTCTTTTTTTCTAGCAACATGTAGTACCTCACTATTTTAAATTTTATTGGTCCCGTTTTTTGTAATTTTACTTAAAATCAATACTACTGCTAATAATAAATAACACGTTTGCGCTAGAAAGTGAAAAAAAAAATATAATAATAATGAATTGTAAAAAAAATTTTGATCCGAAGGGGAAAAAAATTATAAATAAGATCTGCATGATTTGTTTTATTAAATGTATTCATACCAAATTTTAACTATAACGTGTATTTAGTTAAGTATGTAAATTGATTGTAATTTTTTTTTTTTTACTTACTTGTTCTAATTATATATTTTAAGTATTTTTGAAAAGCACTTTATATTTCAAAGTTTATTTTAAAGAAAAAAATACGAATTTTTTGCATGATTGTTCAAGTGACAAATGGATGATCTAAAATACAAAGTAATCATAAAATAAAAAATTATGAAACAGAAATTTTTGTTAATGATTCATAAAAAATCAAGAAACATACTGTATAAATAGCTATTTTATATTATGTAATTTTACTGATTTTCTTAGAGTTATCAAAATAACGATCCTTATTTCAAATATATAATTGGAAATATTAAGAAATAAAATAAAACTAGTAGTTTCTGTAGGAGAAATTAGTTAGAACTTTTTTCTGTAGAGGACGCTATCATTTATTCAAAAACATTAAGCTAGAGCAGGGTTTGGTTCGGAATATCATTTTTGAATCACAATTTGTGTTTGTTACAGAATTAAAAACATGAATTGAAGGAAAATTTTTTTGCCCAAATCGTATGATTTTTATGATAATGCCTGCTACTCTTCATAAGGAATTTTAATGTAAAATTTTTTAAGAAACTGTTGTTTATGGAAGTTTGAAAATTTAAAAAAGATATTATTACTACAACTAAAATTCAAACATCTATTCGTATTATTTAAAAAAATTAAAGTTTAAATTGATGTTTATTGAAAAAATGTTTTCGTTAATATTTAACTAAAACATTAAGAATAAATTTAGAACAAATTTAAAAGAATATTTCTTCAAAAAAGGTTAGAATGTTTATTTTTTAAAATACTCTATAGCACATTTTTTTGTGTCGAGAATTGTCACTGGGGAAAGTGCCATTTTAAATACTTGAGAATATTTAAAGTAGTTATTCATACTCAACTGCTTAACTTTTTGAAATCCATTTCAGTTTTTACGATGAAATCTTTGATTATATAAAATTATAATCCATAAATTTATTAACCAAAAAGAGAAGCATATTGCTTGTCAGTCTAGGCAATTAATAAATATCTATACAGTCTATATTCATGTGATTAAAAAAATATTATTCGAAAAAATAATCGGAGATTAAAATTAAGTTACATTTCTCTCAAATAGAACTTTTTTTTTTTTTAGAATTTTCTTAAACAGGTTTTCTTTATTGCATTCAAAATGGTCGTTTTGTAGAAAGAAAAAAAAAAGAAAACTGAAATTTTATCAGTATGTGTATAATTTTAACTACAAAAACTTTAAAATAAAGAAGCAATAGGAATGCGTTTCTTCTTTTCTAAATTCATTTTTGGTATTTTACTGAAGTTAATAAAACGATAGGAAAAAAATATACTTTTTAATAAAACTTTGAGCTTAAGAGTAATTTTTTATGGCTGTAATAGATATTATTCCAATTTTTTTTTCTTTATTCTATAAATTAAAAAAAAATAATGAAATTTTTTTCAAAAAAATATTAATAATTTTTATAATTATATATAGTACTGAGAAATACTATTCCATTCATGGTTCCTACAACCGATATGGTTAAATATCTTTAGCAATATTAAAATTAAATGTTTTTATTTAAGAGGCAAGCATGACGATAATGAAATTTTTTTAATTTCCGAATAAAAAACATAAAATCTGTGAATTGTAATATATCATGATTTGTTGCAACATTCCTCGAACTTCTATCTATTAAGTTTACGGAACAGATTTCCATAACTTATATTCAAATATGTAAGCGAAAAACATTTCCATGACTTTATTTTGACGGGAGCGTAAAAAATAGTTTGCAATAACCATAAAAAATTTTAAAATTGTATTTTGTATTTCATAAACTATAAAAATCATAAATCGCATGGATGTATTTCAAAAGTCCTATAGAACTTTACTTTTCTCTATTCTATTAAAATAATAATGAATTGATTTTTATGAATCAAGAAAATTACAAACAAAGATTTTTAGTTTCAAGAAAAGTTGAATGTATATAACATTTTTCTAAATTTGCAAAAAATTGAAACCTTTATTTTTTCGAATAAAAAATTATTTCCCTCACTAAAAAAATGAAGGGAAAAATACTGAATGAGGAAATGGTTGTGTGTTAATACAATCTTTAAACAAAATTAAAACATACATTTTGATAAATTTTGAACTGTAAAAAATGTAACTTAAAATAAATTACGAACATGTTGATTTGAATATGTTGTATTGAAATAGTTTCGCTCGATGAAAGAGGCGATTAAAGACCTTATTTTGTGAAAATATATATATTTAAACAAAAATAAAATCGTACATTTTGATACATTTATAGCAAAAAATTATGCGTAAAATAAATTGCGAGCATATTGATTATAGTTCTAAAATAGTTCCAATAAAAAAGACAGATTAAATATTTATGATAATACTTATGTCTAAACAAAAATAAAATCGTACATTTTGATAATTTTTTTTCGAAAAATTAAGCATAATACAAATGGCGAACATATAGATTTTAGTTCTGAAACAGATTCTCCAGATGAAAAAGAAGAATTAATGCAATTATATTGCGATAATACATATGTTTAAACAAAATTAAAATCGTACATTTTGATAAATTTATTACAGAAAATTAAGCATAATACAAAAAGCGAACATATTGATTAAAGTACTGATTTTTTTTTTCCAGGTGAAAAAGGCGCATTAAAAAGTTGCTTTGTGTAAATACATATCATAAAAATCTAATAATAGTGTCGTAGTTTTCCATTCTTGTCAATACATTTTTATTAGCTGGAAAATCTCCTGGTAGGATACAGTTTTTCCACATTCATTTTATTTTAGTTCGGTTGTCACCAGCATAAAATTGATATAAGTCGTAAAGTTATTATTTTCCTAAAAATATTTTTATTTTCTTAATTTAAAGGTTAAAATTACCTGTACTGTACGTTTTTGATTTCGTTTGATTTCTAAATGAAGAGTTTAGGAAGAACGTTTTTATTATTATTAGAATAATGTAATTCTACATTACATTTTAAGATAAAGTTATTTGAATCGGTGTCTGATCTTATTAACCATTTTACAATTATTATTTTTTGGTGCAAACTACATTAATATACTACATTAATATACAAAAAGTGTATTTAAAATACATCCGTCCGTTTGGTAAGCAAATATTAAATTTGTGTTGTGAACTCCCCAAATTTGTTATAACGATATACTTTTAATTTTAAATGTTATTTCAAAAAATGATTGCTTAGAAAAAGGATTTATGCTCACTAATAGA